ACGGCGGTCACGGTGTGTTCCTTGTGGCCTTCAGAGTTAAAGTGTTAGCACCTTGCGGTGATGTATTCAGTAGTGAACACACCGATGTTTCCTGCGCCTCCTCGACCAGTCGACTCTACAACGCCAGCATGACCACCACTGGCATCGTAGTGGCCGGGTCCCTCCCCAATGTTACCATATCCACCTCTTCCGGCAGTATTCTCGGTAGGAAGGTGGGCTTTGACTTCCTCGGTAGCGTGATTGACGTGGTCGCTGACGTTTCCTACATCCAAGTCAATAGAAGTTGGAACCCTATAGAACTAAGCATACCAGCACCACCCTTTCCGTAGGTCTCGTGATGCGCAGTAGACATTATGTTATTAAGGTGCGGATAGAAAGCTTGGTTGTCGGGGTTTCTCGGTATGGGGATAGATGGTGTCTGGGAGGCGCTGCCTCTTTAAACGGACTGCTACACTATAACGCCATCCTGGACGTTTCATCGATAACAGGGCCTCTTGAATGGACAAACGTAAAGATTGGACTGTTGGGGACCCTGTCTCCTTTAGCCGGACCATATCGTGTATCTTTGGCCAATCATAGTTTCCCTGGTTGGAAGATACCACCGCAGTGGAAATTCGGTGACTGATAAGGAAACCGACCGAGTCATTTCAATGGCTGACCGTTATCTTTATGCCGGTTCGGCATTGAGCGAGATAAGGACGTTCTGTATTCGGTCCCGTTGATAGTCGCTACAGGGACTGGATTTAATAGGAAAAATTGGACAGTGGCGACGTAATTTGATACCTCATACTGTCAAGGAGATGAGGGAGGGTTTTTAAGCATTAACAAATGATGATGAGACGTTTTTAAGTTGACGGTCCCTATTGAGCCTTTGAACACATACAGAGATGGTTGATACCCTTGCCTTGATGGTCGCTAATGATAGATTTATCCTACTTAGACAGTTATTCTCGCGTATCACAAAGCCTCGGCAGTTTCCGTTCCAGATACCATACGATCGCCATAACGTTAATAAAAGAGCAATAATGTTTCGAGAGGATACTGATATCTGGTCCTTATCCTGATAAGTTGTCGACTAGGACCTAGGCCTCAGGACCAGACTCTTGTTGCCCACACTAGCCCATTCTATCAGGGTGTTCGCACCAAAAGAAGTGCTTTCAGAGGTCCTATTATTTCACATGTTCTGGGTAAGCATTCGCTGGTGTCTTTGGGTTCTCGGGTCAGAAGTCGTGGGCGGCAACTTATTTCACCACTGAAGCCCATGTTACCGCAGTTCATTGCAGTAACTATTGCTCTTGAGAGAAGATAATCTCGCGTTAAATTGAGAAGGTTATATTTAAGTGAATTATCAAATTGTGACAACTAGACACCAAGATGTACAAACGGAATCCAGTCTGTGAGCTGAACGCCAGGTTTCTTACGAAGCTTTTGAACAGCAAAATGAAGGGCTTCTGCTGCCTTCCTGCAATCCGGTCGTCCTCCATCCTTCATTATATGTTTATAAAACTCATCCGTCACCTCTGGTGCCAGCTCGTCCTGAATCGACCACATCGTTGCAACGACACCA